TTTTTTGGGAATTTTCTAAACTATCCTTAGAACCTGTCGGTTTTTGTCCAGCTGCCTATGCGACAACTGAATCCCATACAGGACGCAAAATTTTTACAACTTTGATGAGTTGCTATAGCAGAAAAGATCGTTGAATTAAAAAACCATGTTCTGGTAGAGATGAATGTATCCAGTAACTTAAGAACTAGACTATGAGTTCGATACTACACAAGCTGGTCTTAATTAGCATCTTTGATAATAATAGTCTTACTGTAGAGCTAAGGAAAATATTTTCGAGAAGTAGAGATCAAATTATGAAACGTTGAATATGAGGGTCACTAATTGTGAATTCGGAGTCGAATCTGAAGTAACATTACAGCGCTATATAGACGTGTCATTTCATCTTATCTCTTTGAGCTCCGCTTTGCCTACATTCTTGCGCTTGACAATTCAAGTTAATTAACGGCGAGTCATACAGTTCTCAGTGTTTGAATTTCATGACAACGTTCTCAAGAAAATTCCAAGTAAGAACTATCAGCGATTTGATGCTTTGCTAGAATTTGTTTGACAATTGGATAAATTGCTATAAAAAAGGAAGGACATGCTTTTGTAAGAAATTTGAGAGGTAGTAGATAATCATTTTCATGTTTTCTTAGTCATAATTATATATTGGATGTAACTTTCTTTACCTCTTTCAATTAAGCTATTGGTTATATACTTTACAGTTATCCTACTTGTGCATTCACATTCTTACCTTGTCTTTTACACACCAAATGAACTAGCGAGTATTTGAAAGTTAGCAATATTCAGGAATCGCAGATATCTTATTCGTTTTAGATTATCTTTCCATGAGCTCTACATCTTGAACATTGTTCATAGTGAGGAATGTTAAAAGAAGTAGGATTTAGAGAATCTTAGCTTAGCTCCCTTACACTCATGAGCACTGCTTATGTGATAGCCTGCTACAAGAAACCTAATGACAAATTGTCGCTATAGGAACTACTTACCAAATCGTTATGGTCGTTTGAGTAAGTCCTGACTTGGTGTCCAAATGGATACATTAGAATTTGCGAATATGAGTGAAAGGTAAGGAATGTATGAACTTTATGACGTGCCAGAAAATCTCGCACCGATGCTGTCTCAGGCTCAGAAAATGCGTATGCTCCCTGGAAAAATAAAGTTCTTGAAATCCAGATACCTTCTGTAGCGAATACTTAGC